TTGTATTTTGTGTTCCATTACTCCAAGGGAAGTCTAAGAAAAGGGAAAAAATGCTATAAATTCTAGTGGTAAGCATTGAAAACGCATCAATGTAAAAAGTATGGTTTGAAATTTGTTCGATTTAACTTGTTACACCTTTTTTCATTGCGAGTCGGCATAGATTCAATTGACCGTAACCATAGGCGGCCCAGTTCGGTAAATGAGCATTGTGTTAGACTTACTTTGGACTGTACGACAGTTTTCATTTCGTTAGTTTATCCGCTGTTCATTTTCGAACGGTGTCACAGTCTATATCGACAAGGGCATTTGATATCGACACTGACAATAGATTTAGTCTTAGTTCACTTAACCCGCGCCCTGCTGGGGGGGGGGTGTTTGAACACCCCCTTGTGGTTTTTCGCGAATATCTCAAAAACGGCGGCGCGGAGCGCCGCCGTTTTTGGTACACCTTATCATACATCAATTCTACACATGTTGTGAAAATTTCAGACCAAGGTCATTCAAGGTCAGGTCACCAGGTCACTTGAAGTGACCTCACCTCATAAAAACTTTCAATGTCTGTCATAGCTACACCGAGTGACCGATCGCTTTGAAACTTTCAGCGATTGCTAAGAGCAATAGCATGTACAAAATGTATATCTCAGAATTTTGATATCGATGACCTAAGGTCAGGTCAATTTTGCGACCTCCCCATTATAAGTCAATGGGAGAAAATTGAAATGCGCCTCTTTTGGATGAAAGACATTATAAACACTCCCAAACACCGAATTACAAGTGGTTTAGACACACTGAACTTAAAAATGGTGTCCGTGACCCTTGTTTATGCCCTGAGGTCATCTTAGGTCACGAATGGTATCTAACAGTTTTTCGCAAATAACTTTTGATAGAGGCATGCTAGAGCGATGAAAACGCCTTAGATGTGTTCAGCTCGACGATACGGATCGACTGATATGCAACATGACCCTTTCCGGTCAGGTCATGACCTTGACCTGAGGTCAAATTTTCAAGTTGACTTTTCAAGGTCAAGTTATAGTTCATTCGATGCGTCTTGACGAGAGGAACACGATGCCGGTAAAAGTAAGCTCGTACAAGGCTTGGGTCAAAAGTTATTGCAGAAAAACTGTTTTCAAAAAAATCGGCTATTTTTGCAGTTTTTGCCCCCTGCAGGCAAAACCGTTGACGTTAGGTCACATCTGAGAGAAATACTCAGAAAGGGCGTTAATAGGGCTATCGAATGCGTTTTTCCGCGGCGCTGTAGCTCTATTGGTTCCCGAGTTATGCGTCGGCTTCTTGGAAATTTTCGACATTCGACCTGGAAATCGGCGAAATTTTGCCTTCAATGACCTCTGGTGACCTGACCTTTGACCTGACCAAAAAATTGACCGAAGTGATTTCGTCATTATTTTTTACGCTCTTTCGAACGCCGCCTTCCGCGTATCGCTACGTGGCCCAGGAGCCGAGTTACAAGGGGGGGTGTTCAAACACCCCCCCCCCCCCCCCAGCAGGGCGTGGAAATCCAGGACCCCCAGCAGGGCGCGGGTTAATTTAGTCGCTTCTCGATTGAATTAGGCAATACAAAATGGATTTCGTTAATGGATAATTTGATTTTTATTTGCATTTGATTTTTTTTGGACAATGAAAATATGAAACATGTTTTGTTTTGTGTTGATAAACTATGCTGAAGTAGCAAACTGACCACGTGGCGTATCTATATCATTTACACTTGAACCTCTACTGGTTCCCGGTAGGCTAGGTGACCTCAAGCCAGGTCAGTGTGCTTGCTTCATTCGGTATCAAGATGCCGAGACTCCGCCATACCGTTTGTGCCGCGGACCGCGAGCGAATCATCCAAGCGTACCGTGATGGCAACGATTACGTCGCTGTGGCCCGCCGGTTGAGCGTGAAGAGGACCACCGCCTGGTCCATCGTGGCAAAGTGGATGCGTATTCGCCGTTCTTGAACCCCATTGAGAACTGTTTCTCTGTCTACAAAGCAGACCTGAAGCAGCGTCTTGGACAGGTGCAGGGTATACGCTGGACGATCGCGGCACGGCTCTGGCGGCAGGACACCGCGGCATCGGAACGTGGAGGAGCGCCATCCTGGAGGAGCTGGCGAATCAAGCGATGGCTGCCATGACCCAGGAGAAGGTGGCAGCTGCTTATCAACACGCCAACGCGTTCGTCGGCGCCTGTCTGGCCAGAGAGGACACCTGGGCCGGGTGACCGCACCGGCGCGGCGACAACTGGCGGCGGCGGAGCGGTCGGTTATGTGCACTCATTGTGCTGCTTGTGTTCATTGTTATTGCAGTGTTACGTAGTGTTTTTTATGTGGCATGGCCATTGGCCATACACAAATGAAATTTCGTTTATCATGTTGCTTTTTTACCAGAGGCATTTCAAGCTGATGAGCCATTACTGTGGATTAAATTGATTCGTTAACTGCTTGTATTTATTTGTTTTAAAATGTTGAAGTACACACACATAAATAAAGCTCTACTTGTATTGAAACCAAATTGTGTTGTATCGTGCAATGAGACTAAAAAGCAATTCTATGGTGTTTTATGAACGTGATAAGAATTCATTATCTGCGTATATTCGTAGAGACAGGCCGCGAGGACAATCAAACCAAATTCAATTATGGGTATGTCGATTATGAACGCTCAACTCATACATATTGATTATATGTATACGATGAAGTTTGATATAATCGTAAACGAAATTAAAAGACCTTTGTCAAAATTGATTCACGCCCGTCTATATCAGATGGACGTTGTCATATTCAGTGCGCTGTGTCTAAATCCACTGAACAGTGTCGAAGTTGTGCACACTGCCTATTTTCAATGCCCCTTATCGTGAAGGCGCGTTGTGTCGATGAGAGGCGCGCAAATGTCGAAAGACTACGCCTGTTGCCGGCTTAAATGAAAGAAGTCTATATGACCTGCACAGATGCCGACTCGCAATGAAAAAAGGTGTATACCGCCAACGAAACTGCATGACCATTGCCATTGTAAAATGAAATTTGCCTTTTTCCAATGCCCAGTGTCACAGTCCTTTGCCGTGTGCCGAAATCCATTGGCCAGTGTCGAAATCACGTTCATTGTCGACATTAAATGCCCCATGTCACGCTGCTGCACTATACCGAATTTGAGGCGTGGTTTGTCGAAAGCGCACTCCAGCTGACGTTCCTAATGCAGATCTGCCGAAACTAACTGACCAGATGCCGATTCGGATCGAAAAAAGGTGTAAACGATCATTATATGAGCAGACTGGAAAGAAATTGTGATGACGCTTTAGGGAGATATAGCCAAAAATGTGTTTTTGAAGTGATTTTTATGTTTTGTTGTCAGATTATGCATCATGGCGTTCTTTTACCGTCCACATCAGGTTAACGACTTTTATGTATTTTGAACGACTATTGTCTAACGCTTATAATGCCGGGTTGGTTCGTGTTAAATTATGTCTTCCTGGAGTGCAAGGCGTTGTTCTCTGACCGTACTACGTGATGGGGTAAAACGCCCCAGTAGGTCGCGGGGCAAAAAGCCCCATGGGGCGTTTCACCTCATGTGTTGTTCGGACTACCCACTTCCTAATGCTCGGTAGCTGGCGAACGGCATGTTTCTATGCATTTATATGTACTTTTCTCAGCAACTGGATGGCAAAGGAAGTATTTTGTTAACATTTGCATTGCAATAACTTATTATTTGGCCTTCTGAGGCAGGTGAAAAAACTGCTCACACAATAGTGTCGTAGCTGAACACCTGATAGGATGGAAGGTGCTAACTTCAGTGCCGTGCCTCCCAAGGTCTAACGGACCTCTCATATAAGATTTAGTCAACTAGCATGTTTAATCTTTAATCTAGAGTATGGGGCTTCTTGCCCCAGGCCGTGGGGCGTTTTGCCCTGGGGTTGGGGCAAAACGCCCTATTTGCAGTTGCTTCACAAATCACTTCCTAGCTGGGAGTCCGATCATAAGTGAATGAATTTGAGGGGTGGAATTTAAAGTAAAATGTCCAAAGAACGCATTGAGCACAAATTTGGCCTTCCAGGTGATGTGGGACAAAAATTATGTAGCAAAATAAATTATCTGGGGCGTCTTGCCCCAGGCTACCCTATCGCAGGGACTATCACATATATTCCGTTTTTTTTTTTTTTTAATTCGGAAACAATTTGGATTTTTTGCGTTTTTCTTAAAAAAAAAGAGTTTTTTGAATTTTTGGGGTCAAAATTCCAAAAGTTTGAAAATCCGAGTCCGCAGTTTTGTAGCGCTGTCTTTCGTCTACATGACCATATAAAAAAGTTTGAAATTGCTTTGTAAATGTAGCTTTTGTGAGCGTTTCAAGATTTCATGTTTTTTTTTTGCTCATTTTTGCACGAACATGACCTCAGTTTGACCTCAATAACTCCTGACCTAAGGTGACCTAAGACTTGAAATTTTGTGTGAAGGTGTCAAATTGATGCCCGGGAAGGTACTGAAAATTTGACCGCGCTGCGCGCCGCCATTTTCTTGCTATTCAGGAAAAACCACAGGGGGCCTAATTGCCCCCCCCCCCAGCGGGGCGAGGGTTAATTTGAATGAATTATAGCTTGTAGGGTCCTGAAACAACACAGCACACGCAATTATGTGTAACTTCTAATCTACGAGTTAATTAGCTGATGCATATTATTTTTTCCAGACCAAGGTCAGCGTACGTGCCACAATGCTTTCGGGTGTCCAGCGGAATACATATACTCATATAAGAATACATATATTACATGAATACATATATTCAGTATATTGACTGAATACATACGTATTCAGTCGTCAATCCCAATGCACTGACGTGGAACTCTACCGGCATATGTCTTCATGGAAAACATCGCATTTGCCTTATCGTACTACCATAATTCTAATCCGTCTTCAGCACTGGTCCTTATTTCGTCCTCCCCTCCCACTCCGGCTGCGACATCAACATAGCAAAACTCCTCAGTACGGGACTGAGGCACACCCCCCATTTCCCTTACCTGTGTGATTTCGGATGTATCCTCTCGAATCCCCAGTTCACCAGCTGACGTCGGATCTCTTCTCCGGTGCTATGAACGATCAGCACCCGATCACTGATATTATCGACAATCAGATTATCACCGCAATCTTCATCACACCGCGCCCGCTGTCACCTCTCCGCGTCTCGCTGTCAGTACTCACTCAGCCCCCTCGAGTCCTGCCGCCCGCTGTCCCAGCCAATCAGCGGCGGCGGTGGCCGGCCGCGGAGTCACCTGACCGGCGGCACGCAGACCGCCTCGGGCACTAACCGCCCGCGGGCTGACCGGCGCGGTCGGCGGCCGGGCCTGCGCAGCCTCCGGCTCTGGCGGCCAGCCGGGCCGACCGGCGCGGCGCGTCGGGGTCGTATCGACCTCTGCGCCGCCCCCGCCCAGCCCCGACCCGGCGCGGCCGGCAGCCAGCCCATCTGCCCACCGGTCATCAGATGATTCGGCACTGTCCCCCGCCCCCGGAGTCCATCTCCGGCGAGGGGATCGGTCCCAGGACACCGTCCGCCGCGCGGCCGTCCGACCCCGCCGACCGGGGCGGGGCGGCGCCCGGCCCCGCGGGCGGGCTGCGTCAGCCGTCCTCGAGCCAGCTGATGGGGAAACAACAGCTGAGAACACACCCCTCGGCTCCCTCCCAACGCAACAAGAGCTGCTGACCTGCGCACAGCCGGCACCCGCAGCCCTACCCCGGACAAAGGAGTGCGGCATCTCTATAGGCTTACACGAGTCTCCCCCCAAAGCTACCATGCCTCTCTCATGCATGGCAATAAGTAATGCACGATCTTGCAGGCAGAGCAGCATTCGTGCTGCTATAAACCTCCAGTAGACAAATTGATAGTGTGGACGAGGGATGAAGCACCGTGATCAGAAAATAACTTCTCCATTTCGGCTGTGCCATCAGAGGTCGGGTGAAATATTGCCGAGTCATGGAAAACGAACTGGGATAGATAGGAAAGGCGGAGCCGACATCCGCGACAAACGAGTCCCCGGGCGAATAAAATGCCGCAGAGAAATGGTGAAACGCTGAACGCTTGGCATTTGAGCAAACATGATGAGGTGGAGAATGGAAAAATGTGCATTTGCATTTACATCACATATGGATGCCTAATGTTTGAAACTTTGCACAACAGCATTGTCTTTTGATAGTTATGTTTATCGTTTCTATAATTCGAGCCACAAATGATAGAAAGTAGGCTGGGAAGTTAAGTGCAGCAATGATCTGCGTTATAACTGATGAATATTTTATATCTATATAACTGTTGATATAAATGTTAGGTAAGTGTTAATAGCTTACCCTCGATAAGTCGTCATTAAATTGCAGAGTTAATGGTAATCAAACGTCTTTATAACAATATTAAGTTTTATTTTATAAAGATTTAACGAATGGCAATATGAATGGGTTTACGCCACTGAACTCTATATTCGTTTACGCTTAACAGTTCTAACAAAGATCATTGCCGCATTAAAAACGCCCAAACCTACGACTGATCGTGGATGATTCAAAGTTGAATCTGTGCTGAGACTGCTCACTTTAAAATCGTCTTCGGATAAGTTTCCAGCAGAGCCAGAGTCATCTTCTGCGTAAGTAAGTTGTTTTCAATTCAATCAGTCATCTTCTGCGTAAGTAAATTGTTTTCAATTCAATCAGTCATCTTCTGCGTAAGTAAGTTGTTTTCAATATCTGACCATGTTTTCATTCGAGAATTCTGAACTGAACTACCAAGGAAATCAGCACTAGAGTCGGGTCGTGACACGAACTTGTGAGAAACAGGGCGGTGAGATGGCGTCGAGTTCCGTACTTCTTGTAATGCACTTTCCTCGAGTTGGACCACAGTTTCCAGTGTGCCATTCCATTTTGCCGCTGTTATGTTTCGCTCACAGGGCGGAGTAGAGAGCGCTTGCATGTTGGACAGCGATAATCCACCGATATACCGAGGAGCGGTCGGACGGAGCGCATCATTACAGCCATAACAGGGGACGATAGCTGGCTTCTGGACCCATGAATGACTGATGAGCGGCCTACGGGCGCACGGGGCGCTGCCGGTCGAGTGACCCGCAATGCGACCGGACCCGCTCCCGTCCCTTCTGCGATAGCTTTAGCGGCAGGGGCAAGGAGTCGGGTCTGTAGGTGCCGGCGAGTGTTCATATTCTTTTTACTTTTGCCAAATTGTCAGGGAACTCAGATTTGTTTTTCAATAGAAAAACACAATTCTAAAGAATAGTGTTTTAACTTTTAACTATTGACAACAAACCTTCGGTTACTTTCAGATCCCTACAGATAAATCTAAGTGTTCTTCCTGAAAGTCACTACTCATGAGATACATGCAAAATGACATGACCAAGGTATACCTCGGGGACACAGCAGAACGGTCAAGCCAGCTGCCGAACGCCTCAGGATGGCCAGAGGCGCCGAGGGGACGCGACGCAGAGACAGAGTGTCCCCGCGGAGAGACAGAGACAGAGGTGCCACAGGATTATCTCAGAGCGGACACGGGACAGAGGTGCCGCGGGGACACCTCAGAGTGGAAGGAGGTGCCACGGGGACACCATGCAGAGCGGACAGAGCCGCTTCCGGGACTGCCCGGCGCTCGGGGACCGCGGGAGCTGCCCACGCTAGCAGATGTCGGCCCCACCGGCCAATGGGATTAGCCAGTTCGTTACATATGCATGAAGTCGCCTGTTCAATTTCGCCCGGTGACACCTGGTATGTTTATTGTGCTTGCCGCGCTGCGGTGCAGTGTGACAAACTTAGGGAATCTCGGAGGCGTATCGCGATAAACGGAGTAGATTATACATAGACGATCAGATGTGCTTATTCGGACAGCATGTCATTTGTAGCAGTAGTGGCACGGTAAATACCAATGGACATTTGCTGTGTTGTCGCGTAGCGTGCTAGGTTATAGGTCATGGCTTAATCAATCGTATGGATAATCTTTAGAGTCTAGACACTGCTCATCCCGAGGTGAGCCAGATAATAATCATGAACCGTGAAAACAATTCAAGGGGGAAGGCGGCGCAATATACCTAATCAGTGTGTTATCTTTAATTAATTAATATCACTTGTGCTTATCATTCACGATATTTATTAAATATTACGGATTGCCGTTATACTGGTATCATCCTTATCACCATTGGGTATATTTATCTGTAGTCTGTACCTATTCATTGGACATTTTCTTAGACATATTTTGATGAACAATAATCTTTCAGCAATTACACCTACATCCTGTGACCTACAGGTAGTAGGTACGAGTTCACGGGTTGGGGACCTGACATGGCCCTATCAAGATTGCACACCTTTATAATCAGAGTCACATAGGTCACTGAAAGTTTTAACCGGAAAACATTTATTATAAAGCCCAAGTGGCTAGCTAAAGCCATTAGTCCCAGTACGTCGGAGAGGTTAAAAGTTGTGCCGTTCTTTAACTAGTCTCGCAACAAAAAATGTATTTATTGCTCAGGTTTACGAAAGAAATAATTGACATTCGCTCGTGTCGGCCTTCCTTCTTTCCCTCCTCTCTATCTTTATCGTCTCTCTCTCCCTCCTCTCTCTCTCTCTCTCTCTCTCTCTCTCTCTCTCTCTCTCTCTCTCTCTCTCTCTCTCTCTCTCTCTCTCTCTCTCTCTCTCTCTCTCTCTCTCCCCCTCTCTCTCTCTCTCTCTCTCTCTCTCTCTCTCTCTCTCTATGTGCCCCACTCATCACCCTCTCTCCACCCCTCCCATCTCCGTCGCCCGTCTCCACCCGTCGTCTCCCGGTAAGTGTGCCGACTGTGGCACCATCGCTCGCTCGCTGGTGTCTGTCAGGTCGCCTTTGGCGTGGTAAGTGGTCGCCAGTCGCCACTCAAGATCGGCTCGGCTCGCCGGACCGTTCAATATATCGGCGGCCAGTCAGAGAGGGGAGAGAGCAGCCGGATGGTCAGCTGACCCAGCGCGGCGGCCAGCACCGGGCGCAGACGGGCAGGCAGACGGACAGACGGACGGACGGGCAGAGCAGACAGACAGAGATTCGAACAGACGGGCAGACGGACAGACGGACAGCAGACGGACAGACGGACAGCAGACGGACAGACGGACAGCAGACGGACAGACGGACAGCAGACGGACAGATGGACAGTCAGACGGACGGACAAACAGACGGGCAGACGGACAGACGGCTAACGGACTGACGGACTGACGGGCAGAGCAGACAGACAGAGATTCGGACAGATGGACAGCAGACGGACAGACGGACAGACAGACGGACAGACGGACAGACAGACGGACAGACGGACAGACAGACGGACGAACAGACGGGCAGCAGACGGACAGACGGACAGACGGTCAGATGATATGTAGACAGGCAGCGCAGATGGACAGCCGAACGGACAAAGGGGGGACAAGCAGATGACCTTACAGACAGACGGACGGACAAACAGACGGGGAGACGGACAGACGGACTGACGGACTGACGGACTGACGGAGAGACGAACTGACGGACATTGACCTACAGACGGACAGACGGACAGACGGACAGACGGACAGACGGACAGACGGACAGAAGGACAAATGGCCAGACGGAGAGACGGATGGATGGATGACGAGGTAGATGGACGGAGAGACAGACGGACGGATAGTGGACGGACAGAGGGATTGACAGACGGACAGACGGACGTACCGACCTACCTACGAATAGACAAACTGGAACAAAGGAACAGACGGATAGACGGCCGACGTATGGGCAAATCACAAAAGAACAAATCGACGGATGGACGGATGGATTTTGCTTCCTTATTCGTTGCTGCGCACATTTGACTTGACATTTCAAAGTCGCCGAAATGATTTTTTGTCTTTCCATACGAAATACGAATAAACAACAAAACTTCGTTAACTTCAAACATTCTTGGAGGGAGCAATCACGGTACATGGAATACTAGGTAACACCGGTTTGTCCGCTCAACACAGGGCCAATGGTCACCACTTCCTTCAGCTGACGTCTGTGACATTGAGCTGACCTAGGATGATAAACAGCTGACAATTTAGGCCATTTGGAGCTCACTTGACAGCTGAGGAGCGTGATTTAAAATATAAATATTTGTCAGGCACTTACAAAAGATATTATTCACCAGTCATTTTTTAAGCACATTCTGTCATAAATTAGCTGACTCCCTCTGGTCTTCCACACGGCAGAAAATGCAAGTGCAAATTCTGCCGTCTTGAAGTGAGCCAAACGCTTATGATACAC